GTTAGTTGAAAAATTGTGTCCAAAATCTAATTTCTGACAAAGGCAGGGCTAAATTTAAACCTGATAAATTGAAGCTTGCACTGTATATATTTAAAATGTTATTTGTTCAGTTGTCACTGTAAACATAGTCAACAATGAGCCTGGAAATGCTTAAGTAAAAGTGATACTGTGAGGTAATTCATTACCTGAATTACAAAAGGAATAAATCAAATGTAGCATATTGGCTTACAGTAACCAGATTAAACCTTTGAAATGGATTAATATTCACTGTTGGGTATAATGGTGCCTCTTGGTGAATTCAATTTAGAGTTTTGTTTTTTATACCTTATTGACATACAATCTATCATGCTTGTAAAGAAAAAGAGATGGTTGAAGTTTCTAAGATTGCACAGTAGGTGACCTGGAAGTAAAAAGTAGCAGAAGGCATTCCCACCCACTAACTCAGCAAGCACCAGGCTGCCCATACTCTCTCTATCTCCTGTGTACCCTTTCATCAGACCCGCATACACCACTGTTCCTTAGTATAAGGATCACATGGAATAATAATTTGGCTAAAATTATATATTTGGAAAGAAGTCAAAGTAATTGTGAAATGTTGTCATAGATAAATAGTTGTCTATCTAGGTATTAAGAATCAATCAATAAAAAGATGAATAGCCTGATCTGACTGCTTTTATTCAAAACATAAAAGGATACTCATGTCAGTCTTTATGTTGTTTTGGCAGGCTAACCTGCTTTAAGCCAGCAGGCCTGCAGCGCACATGCAGCAGTTGGAGAAGTGATATCCAAATATTTCTTATCTATGCAGTTGGAGAAAACTGGTCACCCTTGCATCATCAACTTTAATGTCATGATCCCAGAAACATTGCAATTACTTTTGACTGAGTTCTGTGTTTTGGGCATTGTTTTTATTATTATTATTTCGCATTTTTGGAACTGGCTTTCTGTATTAGATTGGACTTGTTCTCTTCAACTATCCCTGTCTCTGATCCTATATTAGTCTCTCCTCCTGTTATTAGCCTTGTTCCAAACTTTTCATTACATCTCCAAAGCATTCAACCTCCCTGGTTGTCATTGGTCCACTCTGGATTCTGCTGTTGCTCCTACCCTTGTTCCCATGTGCTGAGGTCTTCACATATTTTAGTTTATATACAGTATATATATATATATATATATATATATATGTATATATATATATATATATATATATATATATATATATATATATATATATATATATATATATATAAAAGCCCGTTTTAAGCTGTAGTGTGTTTTTCCAATTTAATTTGTGTGTAACTTCGAATCCAGGCCTGCATTGGTTAATAAATGAGATTTCCATTGATAATGTTTTGTGTGATTTTGTCATCAGGACTTTCAACTTTGTATAGAACAAAGAATTCAATAAAACTATTTCATTCAGTTCTAGGATCTGTTATTTGAGTGTTCTCTTTAATGTTTTGAGCAGTGTATATACATGAACTTTTAAATAGTTAGAAACATTTAATAGTGTAGTGGCTGTTCTTTCCCTTCGTGCAGAACTGTTTGTTCTCTGTGAGGAAGGGCTTGTGAAGGCAACCAAATTTAGAAGTACTCCAGGAAGGCCTGCTGTAGCTTTAAAGGGGAAAGATTTAAGCCAAACAAACTATAGAGTGTTACGTTGTCCCTTCTGCAAGGAAAATCTTGCTGGCTCCACTCCCAGATAATGCGTGGTGTCTGAATTTAGAGGCCCGTATCTCTGCTCTGTGGACGTGTTCAAGGATGAATTAAAGACATAAACTCTTTCCTTAAAAGGAAATATTGATTAAATTATTTTTTTCAAAAATGATCCTCTGTGTGCAGCTTTTTTTGTTGGAGCATCTGTAGCACATGTTTGTGAATGCAAGGGAGTCTTTTTTTCCACATAAAATATTGACAAACTTATTTGTGCAAGTCAGATTTAAGCATGCCTACACACAGTTTAGGTCGATGTGTTTTGTCTCATATGTGTGGAAGCAAGTCCCTGCAGCCAGAAAATGACTGACAAAGCAATATCTGAGTGCTTTAAAAACCAAGGTGGGGGAATGCAAAGTCCTGCATCTTACTGGTGTATGAAATGCACGTGATTTCCAAACACCTCCTTGGGTCGGTCTTCGTTTTGTGTGAGTTCCTTAATGGGTTTTTTTGCTGCGTGAGAGTATCATTTATAAAAGTAGCCTTGACAGTCTCTCTGGGGTACAGGATACAGCAGCGAGTGTGCAGCTATCTCCTGATTTGGATGCAGAGGCATGAGTGGAAACGTGAGATCAGCATTTCACCCTCATTCATTACTGTTATTCTCTGGTGGGAAAAGCAGTTTAACATGGAGCCTTTTTGTGGGGTCAATGTCTTTGGAGAGAAAACTATAAAGTAAGGGTTGAACGTGAATGGGCGTAAATTCTTTCTGTTATCTTCTATCGATGCAATTTATAACATGCAGTTGTCCTACTGCATCCACAGGAAGAAATACAGATTACTTTATGATAAGGAAATTTCTTCCATTTTAAGTGTAAATGTGCACATAAGTAACCATGGTTACAGTATAGTTTCTAAGCTGCCAGCATCTGAAATGGAAGAGGACGGTAATGAACATGTAAATGATGAGAATGGTTTCCAGGAAGGCATGCATATACATACGATATGTTGTGCATAATGCAAATGCTTTCCAATAAGGTCACATTTTTCTTGCCATATGAAAAGCATTGTGTCATCCCTACATTATGCCTCCCTTCCTGTGTTCTTCTCCCACAAGATGTCTGTGATTCACTGGAGTTAAAAATAGAACATTTGAAAGGGGGTGCTTGGGCTTAAGGGGTTAAATAGCAGCTAAATGTTTGATACATGAACACTGCCTTTTACTACCAACGGTGTAGAGCAGTTCTCAAGCATTTTGGTGGAGGGCTAATTTTTAGACTTGTTTTGCAGCAACTCCAGCTGGGAAGCATGTAGTCATTAAATTGATTTTGGTCTCCTCTATATACTTCAGTTCTTGAATAGTCAAATTTGAGGCCATCTGTCCAGCAGCTAATGCTTGGCCTAAATTGGATAATGAAATACAATAAACTTTGGGAAAATGTTCCTAAACATTAATGGACTCTAGCAAGGTCTGGAAGAAGAGTGGTACCGAGGTCTTTTATAACAATGTGAAAAACTAACTCCTCTTCTGCTAAACAACTCTTGGTATGTTTGAACAGTTTATTTATTTGTTTTTTGCTTTTGATGTTGTTGTTTATTATTGTATCAACATGGTTTGTGGGTCAAAATCTAAAGCGGGTGCCATATCTCTGCTGCACCCAATTACGGCAGTTATCTTATGCTGTAACCACATTAAAAAGCAAAAGAAAGTTCTTGCAGGCTTATAAAATTGTCATCATCATTATTTATTTCTCCCTAATGTTAAATAGAAGCATGTTTCCCACACACTGAGTTTTTATTACCAAAATATCTTTCCGCCTAAGGACATGTGGTGCAAACATAACAAAAAATATTATTTATTGTTAGAATGGAGAGGACCTGAAATAGTAGGAGAGAAAAATGACTCTGCCAAAGGTGGGGCTACATGCAGTTGGGGTGTACTTAGCTAAAAATGAAAAAAATATTAGCCATGGGGAAACTAGAAAATTCTTTTTATACTATCAATGCTGTGTTGTTGTTCTTTGTGCTGTTTTTTAAGTTTCCAAAGTCTAGTGGCCTGCCTGTCAAAATTGACAGACAGGAAAGAAAATGAAGGAAGAATGTCTAGATCGGGATTCAAATTTGGCACAACAGCATTGAGGGCTTCATACATGGGACACATGCCGTGTGCCAATGTCACTCCCAGTCAAGGCCTGATGTAATTTGAAAACCTGGTAAAGAACAGATTATTGATTTTGTTTTGAGAGATAAGCCTTAGAATTGAAAGACGTGTACTTTCCTTTAACCAAAGTTGATTCAGAGTTGTGCAAGTTGTAGCTCCAACATGTTCCAAGCTCCTATCCCTAGAGATTAACAGTAGGAACAGTATCAGGGATAGGGAAGGAGCTGCGGACTGCTGTGCTGAATCCAATCAGCGTTCAGCCTTACAAACCTTTTTACATGATGGAAACACAGATAGATGATGTCTCTTAAATCAGGACTATAGCCTTCCATGAAAGAATTACAAAAATATAAGTTACACAAACCTAGTGAACGACTGAAGCTCCCTGTTATAACACCAAAAAGCATGAAGGTGTGTACGTTTTTATGAGGTTTCACAAGTTTGCTGGTTTTGGAGCATATAGGTGTGTGTGTTAACACCATGTGAGATGGGGCAGACACAATGGGCCAGAACGTCTGAAGGTTCATCCCCTAAATGAAATATTGAGAGGAAGCTTCCTGTCTCCTCTTCCTACCTCCTTCCTTGCCAGCACTTTTTGTAGACCACCTTTTGTGTTGACCGCTGAAGCACTTCAGCTCTGGCTTAGAGATTTGCACTTGTCGGATGCAATGTAAGATTGCATATAGTGCTTTCACTAAAAGAATAATTCAGATTTGACACTCTCACATGGATATGGACTCTTCTTGAATAATTTATTGTGTCAATCTCAACCTCTTCACCGACCAATATAAAAACACTTTTTTCCATTTCTCTTTTTTTTTTTTATCAGGACAAAAGCCATTTTCATACCTCATCTGTATAAACTGAGAGCAATGCAGCCAGATGATGGGATTGAAGAGTAGCCATAAGGATAAATAGAGTAAATAAGCAAGAAGCCGAGATTGTGAGGAGATGGAAACAGATGCGAAAATGACACCAGCTGAAGTCACAGTGTGACAGACATGCAGAGGAGGAGACAGAGGAGGGAGGAGGTGGGGGAGATATGCTGGATGAGTCAAAACCCCTGAGCACCAATGAATGCTGTGTAAAAGACACAGTGCTGAAAAGAGGGCTAGCATGTGCCCTCTTTGCCAAGACATGCCTAAGACTATGACATAATTATCATCAAAAAGGCAAGGACAAAAGATGTGAGAGGCCCCGACTCACGCTTGGCTCTTTTATTTATTATTATTCACTCACTTATTCATCATTTCCCTCGCACTCTCAGTATCATTTTGCACTGACATCAAAGGCAACTCTGTAGTTAGATATTCCTGCGAAGCAATATGGTACCTTTACAATCGTGCTGTTGTTTAACCCCAGCAGTGATCAGAAATACTTTAGCATATTCCCTAAACTTAAAAAAGTACTATTACTTTTACATTGATATTGCACACAAGTATACAGAAATACTTTGGTGAGCATCACAGCTGAAAAACAGGGTCACAGAATATGGTTTAATAGGCTACATTAAAAGCGGGGCTCTAACTCTTTCATATTGTGAATATATATATATATATATATATATATATATATATATATATATATATATATATATATATATATATATAAAGTGATGAAATTGGTTTCTGCTGTTTGATATGCTGATCCAAAGTGTCACTGTTGGCGCTCCTTTTCTGCAAGTCTCTTTGCCTTGTTCTGGAGGTAACGGGCCTTGCCTTCTTCGAAGCGTTTCTGCTCCTCCTCTCCTTCAATCTGAGAAAAAGGAGATAAAAGGACAAAAGAATTTGTTTAAGATGCATTCATCATCTTCACATAACTCCACACTGGAATGCGTCCTCTAGTGTAACATTGTGCAAGGGCGTGAAGCTCTGATCTAATTTACCACCTTGTGCTTTGTAATCAGCATTTATCATGTTGGGGAGGTAGTCTTTCTATGTTACACAGAACACTAGAGGACATTTATAAGACATCAACACACCTGAGACATTCATAGCCTTTGCAGTAAGTTTCTATGGAGAAGTAATATATAAACGGCAGAGTAATGAGGATAAGCTAGTAATATCAGTACTTTTTATATTTACATAACTATGAATGCAAATGTATGGGGGTAGCTGAGTTTAAGTGTCTGACTACCTTCTGATAAAGCCCATTGATCAGTTTAATAACCTTAAGCAAAAGCTTTTTTATCTGATTGGTGTTGATTAACAATTATTGCATTGTTCTATGTACTGTAGCATTTAAAGGCATGTAAAAGTAGCTAAATATCAATATTTCTCATAATATAAAAACAGGCTTGAATTGGTTAGAGATGATAAGGCTAAAATAATGTACCACATAAATGTGTCAAGTAAAAGCTAATTGTAAAATTCCAAACACAAAAAATATGCAAAAAATGTTAAGCATTTTTTTTATTCTAGCCCCATTTTTATTATTATTATTATTATTATTATTATTCCCACCGTTTTTGACTCATATTTCTGTCTGGACTTTGATATGTTTTTAATTAAAGCCTTCATTGTATCTCTTAGAGTATGTTTAGAGGGGAATGCATGCTGAAATTGGAATATCTAGTCAGATAAACTGACTCAATTTAACACATATTAGATGTGTCTCTCTTATGTGTACAGAAGCCAGAGAGAATAGTGGATTCCAGCCTTGGACAGTTTCAGAAATGACACCCCTGAATAGAGTAATGTTCTGGGACTGAAAAATAAAAAAACAATATGGGCAATTTTAAAAGGGTCTGTAGTTGCCAATGTGTACTGCCCATTAGGGAAGCTTTTTTTTTTTTTATCTTATCCTGCTCCTCTTAAATCTTAACCATCATTCCTATACCAAGATGCAATCTTCACTACATTTCCCCCCTGATGTGATGTGCAATATTAGGTGCAATACACGTTGTGTGTTGAACACAGGACATCAACTGGTCCACTGGTTTCCAAGTTTGAACGACCCCCCTTTCAGAGATCTAGACAGGTATCGGGTATTGCACGCTAACAAAGAAAGCAAATGACTGCCCCTTTATAAGCAGCATATCCGCTCGTTCAGTTCAATTTGCATGTTTTCTAAGCCAAGACAAGGCTTTGTTTTAGGTCCACTCAATTAAACCTCAAACTCAACGCTGTTCCTGACATTTTGAATAGAAAAAGCTTCCTGGAAGCTTCCTTTTTTGGAATGACTTTGACCTGGATGACAGATAATCTTCACTAATAGTTTCATTTGTGTCAGATATGTGGAGTACATGTCTAATTGTTATCCTAGCAACAGAATCAAACACCAGAGTTGGGAACTTCTCCCTCCCCTCCAGAGTTACCAAGGGCCTCTTGGCTGCGTATTTGAAAAATTCTCACTCTGCCAGGCCTTTAGTTCTAGCATTTGTTGAGGTTATGTTTTCCTCTTTGTTTCATAGGTAAATGTGTCTACCAGTGTGGTAAATATGAATTCCATCAGCCAGTTTGCAAATTCCACAGCAGACACTGCTCTGATGAGAAAGGTGTAAACCTAGCAGATACATCTTAATGTAAAAGATAGCAGGTTGGTAGCAACTGTGGCACAACATCCTAGCAGGTAGAAGTCAGTTGGGATTATGACTCAAATGTGGTGAGAATACAGGCTCCAAAAACAAACACCATTGGGGATATATTGTCAGAGAACAGGTTGAGGAGAATACAGCTGTAGTCTTGGTTTGTTTGCTGTATGCCAGTTATATAACCATCAACATATTGCTCAGTCAGTTATGCTTTTGCCATTCGACTGAAAGTAATGGATTATTCCAGTTTGTTGGGTTTAAAAAAAGAGCAAGGCAGAGTTTCAACATGGTTCACTATGTTAAACAATTGTACAGTAGTATGCATATTGTATTTTCATTCTCTTTTTAGCCAAGTTTATAGACTAAACCCACATTGGATTCAACAAAACGGTGCCTGCTGATGAATGTTTAGCAGTGTTCAAGACAGCATGACTTCATATTGTGTATAGAATTTTAAAGGAAAAACAACAGAAACATTACAGCCTGCAGCTACATAGGTAATGATAGTATAATAGTATTGACAGCCCGGAGGTAGAAGCTGTTTTAAAGTATGTTAATGCTTTTAGATACCTTTATTCTCCTATCATAAATTCTGCAAGAGTTAAAGAGGTGATTTGAGATAAGTATTAAGTTAGAGAGTCACAGTTGATGTAGCCAGGGAGGGGGAGTTATGTGCCAGTGATGTATTGCAATGGCTCCCCTACTCTCTGCAGGTCTTTGTTGTGTAGACCAGTGTCGCTTTTGAATCTTTTGGGCAGCAGTTAGTCAGGAAGCCATCTTTTGTTGACCATCAGAAAATGGTAAATGCTGACACAGCTGAGGGTGCTTTACGGTCTGCTGGAAACACAATCAGTTTGCCAAATTCCCCGCTTTATAGAGTTTTTTTTTTGTGGTATAGCTGAGGTCTGTGGAGATATGTACACAGAAAATAAAGTTCTTAACCTCATTTCTACGTATAAACACTGATACCTTCTTGGGTTGCTGTTATTTACTGGAATCTATAATTATTTATTTTTGTTTTGTGATTTTACAGCATAGGTCAGTATAAGAGGCCTGCTCTGTCACTAAAGATATCCTTTCCATTTCCAGGATCATTGTTTTCATTAGTCCTAGGATGTTGCTTTCAACAGTAAACAGAAAAAAATGTGCTATTGAAAGTATGACCGTCCAGCCCAGAATGCTCTGCTGTGTTGTTAACGCTAAGTTTTGAGGCCATTTTTAGGTAATTTATATACTAAAAGCTGATGAGAAATCCAAAAAGCAGATTTCTTACATTGTTGTGGTCCCGGAAAATGAAAATGTAAAGAGTACATGCTGCCATCATCTGTTTAGTGCACATGTAAACCGATGCTGCTCTAATTAGCAGAGCTGGGAGGTTGGAAATGGGAAATAAATATCTAAAAAAACGTGTTGATGATAGGGGAAAGTGTGAATGACTGATAGTCATTAGGTTAGTTGACTGTGCTTTTTTTGGTACTGGGATAATTGCTGGTCACCAGACACTGTGGGAGAGTGAGATTGGGAAAAGTTGAAAATAGATGAGAGCTAAAATAGACTGTTCAGAATACAACCCACAAATACACCATTTGATTCTCTACACAGCAATAACGCTAATTATAAATGAAAAATATACAAACAAAATCAAACGCTATCTATTTAGTGGACTATATCATTCACTCTGTGTCATTATTCTTTGCCTTCAGAATTGAATGATAAAACATGATTTATCTATTGATAGTGCAGAGCAGTAGCCATGCTACTAGCAGGCTGTTATAAATGAAGATCTTTTACATCAAATGTGCTCCATAACCTAGTACAAAGTGTAAAAACGAAATAATATAATGTTTAAAACAAATGAAATAAACAAAATAAACAAAATCATGCTGATTTTTTTTTTCCCTTTTATATTCATTTTCAGACAAGGGCTAAAAACTAACTGAGATACAATAAAAAAAATATAATTTTGAATCCAGATCTGCAAATGAAAGTAAAAATGAAATACTTAACTAATAAATGAATTTGTATTGCTGTCTTTTAAAAATATATATTTTTATGTAATTATAAATTGTCTTAAAATATTTTCTTTAGAACCTAAATTGTAACAACAGTACATGGCACAAACAGTTATCATTAAAAAACAGAACTCTGAACCACTTTCACAGCAACGGCATAATAAGATCCACATGTAACAACCATGTTTAAAACAGGATCACATCAAGTTGCCATGGCGACTGTGTACAAGTGCAATGATTGGCCCTTTTGTCACTGCTTGTTGCCATATTTTATGTGTTAGTTTTTCTGAATGTAAGGCTGTAATCCAGAGCTTTGCTTCCCCTTCTGTTTACTCTACAACTGCAGCGTTTTACATTTAATACAGCATTGATTGTATGTTTTTTTAAAAGCTTATTAAATCTATTTCTACATTTTTTTTATATTTAACTGCTTAATAGGTGTTCATTGCCATTGCTGTGCATTGTTAAACAGCTTGCTGAAAGGCATTGTTCTGAGTCGGTTGTAATGTGCTCTTCTCACATATAGTTTTCACTGTTTTACTAAATTTGATATAATATATTCGAGATTTTTTTTTCAGGTGTTTTACAAGGACGCAAAGACAAAGAAGGACAGAGCTGGGGTTTGAAATACTCACCCTAAAGTTGCAGGACGAACTCCTGCTACACCTTCATACTTATTTTAAAGATTACATGGCTTTCAGAAAATGAATTTTTAAGGTTTATTTTTTATTTATGTATGTGCTTGTAAACTCTAATATTACCTACATGTTAAGAGTTAAGGTGAATGTTTTCACAAGCAATTTATTTAATTAGGACAGTTCTTCTGTCATGCAAACCGTAATTATCTTCATTATGTACACAACGATTTGGAAATGAAAGGGAGCATAAAGACAGAGATGATAATTTTAAACAGAGAAAGCTCTGAAAGTTATAGATTGTCCTTGATCTGAAAACACTGTGCATTATCTTGAGATGGCTGGAGCCAGTGATGTCTGATCATTTACACACAATGTGATGTGAGATGTGATGATGTGGCAGGGTGTGATTATGGAGATCTATAAAAAGCTTATTTTAACTGTTATTAAGGGACCTTCACTGATGAAGCAATCCTGGTAAGGCAGGGGTGGGCAATTCCAGTTCCTGAGGGCCAGTATCCTGCAACTTTTAGATGTGCCTTTGGTTCAACACACCTGAATCAAGTAATTAGATGA